AATCTGAAATCAAGGCTGAATATGTAAAAGTGTAATAAATTTTTCAAACCAAAGACTATTTAAAGAGTCCACTATGAAGACATAATTAACTCAGTCTGATCCAAAATTAGGTTCCCCTTATAGGAATCCTGCAACCTTTAGGAAAGTATATAGTCTGTAAAGCAATTAGAAGATTCAACCACTTCTCCAAACTGCACCAATTACTATATCTCCACTCAGTCTTCTTCTCTTCTGAAATAGAAATATGCCTCTGAATATATACTCCTGATTTTAGATATGATCTACTAAACCCATGCAGCAAATGTACTCTTAAATCACACTGTAATCTCAGAGTTCTACATATTTTCTTGAATACTGGAATGGAAGATTTCAGACAGTAGAGTGGAATTATTGATCTGTTTAGTGTTAGGAAAGCTATTGATTATGTGGTGGTGTGAGCTTATGTAAGCATAAATTGACCTTGCAGGGTATTTTATCTGTGTTTCAACTGTGGTTCATTGCAGTACGCAGATGTGTTAAGCAATATTGCTATGTATGTTAGAATGTAGCATACTACAAATTAATCTCTTTAAGAAGGAATGGAATTATATAATCTGCAGGAATGTTTAACACACACTTTTTAGAAGAGATAGTGAAGTAGGAAAAGAGTAATAGAGGTCGAGTGGAATAAAAAGCAGGAGGGGAAGTTACAGGACTAGGAAAATGGGTTGATCTTTTCACTGTTCTTTTCAAGACCCAGGGTTCTTTTTTAAAAGTAGCAATGTTTTCTTTTTAAAAAAGTTAAAAATATTTCGGTGGGGTGGAGCAGTGTGCCAGCTAAACTGCAGTGTAACATCACGGGGTTTAAACCTGTATTTTACACCTAGGAATTTCCTTCTCCCTTCATTATCAGATGCGAATAAGGTCTGTCAGGAATGGTATTTCCACTGGGAGGGGGCCCAGTATCCACAGCTCACACAGGGCTATTCCAGTAAGATACCACTCCTGAAGAACCATTGCACTGCTTTGCCAGGCTCCAATCTCAGCAAGATAGCCCAGAAATACAATGACCAGAGGCTTCTCTGAAACACAGCATCTGCTCGGCCTTTCTTCATATCCTCCTTCCCCTCCTCCCCAATCATTTTGAGGGTTGTTTTACCTATTTGTTAGCTTCCAACAAAAACAGCAGTTGCAACTAATTGGAAAACCTGCAGATTATTTGCCACCACGGGTGTATGGCCCAAATGAGAATAAATCAAGCTTGAACGTCTGTAAAGCAGAAATGTGGAGGTGTAAAAAACAATTACAGCTTGCACCCAATTGGACTCTGTAATTTGTTGCACTAATGAAACATTTCTTTTAAGTGGAAAACCTTTGAAGACTACTAATATAATGATTAATATTCAGGTTACCTAGGGAACCTGAGACTCTACTGACTGTAGCTAGAAGAGCCTTTGCAGAGGAAGCTATCCAGCATGGCTTTTTTCTGGAGCTTTAAGAATGATGCTTCCAGGCATCTGCAAGATCATTTCCCCTCCCTTTTCAAGTTTGTACCAATCCTCTCTTATAATCAAGAAATCTGAGGACTTGCTTTGTCTAAAACAAGTTAGAGCTGATGTAAATCTGAAAAGGGAGGAAGAATTCAGGTGGGCTTAGAAACAAAGGGATAATGTGGACATGCTAGACTATTGTGGAGGCATAAAGAACAAGAGAAATAAAAAAGAACAGGAGAAGCATTCAGCTTCGCTTGAAATTCATAAAGGAAAGGTCTGAATAAAAAAGTTAAATACTTCTCTGTATGTCAGTAGCAGTACATGTTGGAGAAGACTTTCCCTAAATCACTGTTAGTAGGATGCCATTTACACCACTTCTGGTGTAGGTACATCACCTTTGCTAGCACCTATTGTGTGTGCTAACACTTAACGTTAAGAGGTTGAAGATAAAACCTCTTTAGCAAGGGCTGACAAACACTAATGTGGGGCACAATAAATCTTAACCAGATTGCAAGAGCGATGAACCACGTGCTTGCACTTGCTTCTCTGAGGACAGCCTAAATCTGGCAGTGCTGATGTCAGCATTACAGATACTGAAATAAGTGAAGTGTCAGGAGACTGGCTGCCCGACAGAGGCTGGACAGAAGTCAACCAGAGATGAGTGACTGTGGATATGGGAGGTATTAATGAGAACATCATGGCTTGTACTTGCCTCATGATTCTTCTTGCTTTTGAGACACGCATGGGTAAACATCACGTAGCTGTCAAGAACCACTAACCACTGCCAGACAGTAACCTAGCCAATAGCATGTGAGCAGGCACAGCAGGGTAGCTTTAGAGGAAGCCATTTAGAAAAGGGCAGCTCTCTGACAACAAATGGACACAGTTTGTACAGCTGCATGGCAAAGCTGAGCTAGGTAGCAGAGGGTCAACCTGGAATCCTGCACTCTGCTTTTTGTACAATGGGTTGGCAAAAACAGGGTGGTTTGTGCCACACGTGGCTGTCAGCTGTAACCCTTTTGCCAGATACAAAGACAAGTATTTCTTTCCTGCATTGCATTCCTAATTCATATTATTTCATTTGGCCTGGATCTGCTGGGAGTGAGGCTTACAAAGAGAATTGACGTGTACTCATTGGCACGCGGTGCTGTCTTCTAGGAATGTAAGAGTTACTGGCTCAGACCACATATTCATTCACTCCACTACCAGTATGATGGTAGCCAACAGCAAAAGCTGCAAAGGAAAACACAAGAAAGCTTCTTTGAGAAATTCACTACCCCACGGGAAGCTGCTTTTGAACCATATTAATTAGAGGTTAGTTTATGCCCTGAAGCGTAAGACATTAAATCCCTTATAAATATGCGTGCCTGTACTTCAGAACTTCAGGATACACAGAGATGTCATACAACTGACACCATGCCTGGGAAGCATGTAAGTGTTCGCTCCATTTAACAGATGGGCAAACAGGGAAAGAAGTCAAGCAGCTTCTCTGCAGCCTAGTCAGCAGGCAGACTTCTGGTGGCACTGCCAGGTGAATAATATGACACAGGCCACTTCAAGCTCTCCTCCTGAAGGTGGTTAGCTGTATGCTGCACAGCCCCATCGAGATTAATTTCCTCTTCTGCAAAATGGGTGTGTTTATCTACCTACTTAATGAGATTTTTAGAACTGAATAATATTTGTATTATTATTATACACAACTATTATGCAATGCTGACACTAGGCAAAGTTAGAAAAAGGAAGAGATGTACTGTCAAGGGATTATTAATTCATTTATTTTGCTGCATTTCTAGAAGCTTATTCCTCATAGAGCTCTGTCAATGTATCATTTCTCAGCTAGAGCTAGTTCCAATCTCTTGTGCTTAAGCCTGATAAATAAGTTTGGGAGTGCTGTAAGCATGGACTGTACACAGATTTAGTCAGTAAATTTTATATTGAATTTGTTTTTCTCTTCTTTTTTTAATCTTTTTTTTAAAGCTTCTGTTGACCAACTGCTAAGAGCCTTGAAGGTCTCCAGTATGGTCTGGGAGCAAGGACAACTGTAAAATTTTAATATTCTATTTCCAGAAAACAAGAGAGAGAAAAGGAGTTTGAGAGAATGGAAAAAGAAAGAAAAGACTTATGCAAAAGCACACATCTCTTATAAAATAATCATCTGCAATGCCCTAAATTGAAGTTCCAGTCCTTGGTCGTATCAATGGAATTTTTGGATGATATCAAAGCAGACCAAATTTCATAGGAACAGAGGAATATACAGTACTGTCATCAGAATTGCAGCATGGGTTGTATACATACGAACTAGCTAATACTCCAGGTAGTCTGGATGTCAAAAAGCAATGAATCCATAACAGCACAGCCCTTGAATGTTGATTAAGTAATAAGAGTTTGTCCAGCCTGTGCTGAACCACGGGTTTCAAAAGATTTGTTTTGCTTGGTATTCGACCTAAGTTAAAGCTAGCAAGCTCGCCTCAGTGTACATGCAGTCCACATTTTCTAGGTGGCTTACTGCAACCCACAGTTTTCATTTTCACTTTTGAATATTTCCAGTCTGATCATTGGTTGTATAACCCACCTTGACTACTTAGGACCCACACTCTTTGCTGGAAGGCAAATACAACAAGAGGCAAATACAACCTTAACTCTGGGTATTCTCCTACCTCAGCTTTGGGAAACACCATTAGTCAGTTATGATACACAGCAAACACAACAATTTATGTTGCACAAAAAGCTTTGCCCCAAAAAATTGCTTTTTCCAACAGTATCATGCTGAGTATGTGGATATTAAGTTTTCCATGCTAGTTAACTCCAAAGAGTTGTAAGGTAGGTCAGTTTATTTATTTTTAATGATTATGACGGAATCTTTAATTCTGATCCATGTAATAATAAAATTCAAGACAGTATTTTCCCTGGGGAGAAAACAGGGTTGGCACAGTGAAGCTGTTCTCTAAACCCAGCACAATGCATTTCCAAGTGAGAGTGGAAGGTGTTCCGGGATCACTGTCCCTACTGAGCATGTACTTACATGCCATCCCGAACGAGGACAGATGTAATCACATGCTCACATGCTCCGGGGCCATGACATACAACGTCAAACCTAATGAGTGCCTTGGGCACTTCTGTAACAGAAGCAATAGTCTTGGGGTAAGAAATACACTGCTTCATTACACAGTCTTTTACCAGAGTGTCAGTTCAGATGGACAAAATCAGATTACTGATTTCTTTTTAATACTGTAGGTTTTGTGTCATGAATATTTTAATCCATTCTACTTATGTTAGTTAACTATTCATTATAGTAGAGAGAGGTGAAATTACTTCATTTGTGCAGTTCTTTTATCCTACTCAGTTTGCACAGTTCAATTCAAATAAACAAGAAGACCCCCAGCATCAAAAGATTAATAGAAATGTATAGCTATGAATGCAGTCTAAAAGCACTGCAAAATTATCTTTTCAAAAGGGAAGATTTCAATTTATGGTTTGTTAGACAAATCTAAGGTAAACAGCTTTTCTAAATGAGACAATGAAAATTACCTAAATTTTGTAGATTCTTCTGGTCTCCTTATCCAGGTGCAGTTCTTCAGTTTTGTAACTATGTGAAGATAATAATCTTCTGAATATCTAAAAAAGGCAACAACATCAAACACTAGAATATATATGTATGTATATTTAGAAACAGTCTCTAAAACATTCAAATGATGCATGTATTAATAATAATGTGCACGGTGCATATATAATAGATTGCTTTTAGAACTTCATGACCTATTTTATTTTTGTAATTTGTAACAGTACTATCCTCATTTAATTAGCATAACCTATTAAACATTGCTTCTTAATAGTGATGTCCTAATGAACTTTTCTTTTCAGAAACTTTCAAAAGTACACTAGTTTCAAACTTAAATATCTGACCATAAATATCTTGAAGTTATTAGACATCATCTCAAGTGCAAAAGTCCAAAATAATACAAAAAAATTCTTTGTTGTACTTGGTGTTTTAAACTTCAAAAATGTTTTGAAATGTGGCTCTTGCAAGCCAAGATGAAACACAATACTTCTTATGCCTTTTCTTTCATTTACCTTATAGAGTCCCCAAAGTTCAATTCAATCATCTAAGATCATAGACCAATTTTTACAGATATAAGTTTTCCTTCAAATTATTTCTTAAATAAAACAATCTGTTGTTTTACATCAACCAGTACTTTGGTTACACTGGTACGTGTAACCAAAGAGCCTTCTGCTCCTTTTAAACCCTTTCAAGAGATTTAAATTTGTCCATATGTGAAATACTTCAGAACATATAAGTCAAAAGAATGGAGACATTTCTTCCCTTGTAAGTTCAATGTTAATACTTCTCCCATTTGTGCTTGGATCCTAACATAGGTTTTTTAGAAACAATAACTCTGACTTATAAGGAGGACTGGGGGAATGGGAAGAAGAGATGATATAGATGCCATGAATACAAATTCTACATGACTCATGTCTCCAGAAAAGATCTACCTGGTATTATTTTAGCAAAAATGGGTTAGCGTTGCCCCAAAATCAAATGATCATGAGTTTATTTAAGGTAGAACTTAGAAGTGTGTATTTTGAAAAGATTGACAAGAGTCAAGATGGCAAGAAACCTCATTTGTTCTTAAATGGAGCGTGAGAATTAATGAAAAGGAATATAAAAAAGGCTGCGGTGCCTTGCAGCAGCAGAGGTCAACAACCTGAAAGCCTCCTTCTCTCTGTGTGTTCAACATGCTTTTAATACCACAGCTTTATAGTAAACATTTGAAAAAAACAGATCCCTTTTTTTGTTTCCTTCATAAAAGTACTACAGCTGCTAAAGTTAACTCTGGAGAAAAATCAGGTCACATTTCCACATGGAAAAAGAAATGAAACTTTTAAGGAGAATACTGCATTGGAGCTGGTCTTTGGCTCAAGTTTGCACCTGTGACAACACATAGGATTTTCATCGTCTAGACTTCGCAAACTCTTCAAGGAACTAGATGATTGTGCCTAAACTGATTTTACCGAACGCTTGCACAACTCAAAAGAGATGGAATGAATAACCAGAAGTGGGAGAAGAGTGAAACTAGTTTCATCGCAGCTGTAGCTGATCTGACCTGGTGCAGTACATTCTTCGTCCTTCCAGTCCAACTCCAAATCTCTTCTCTCCCTTGTGCTACTGCTGACTTCACCTCTCTTTTGTCTTTGCCAGCTTTTGCACTTGGCAAATGCCTTCACAGGCCACTTTAATTCACTACCATGGCAAAAAAATAACACAGAAGATTAAAAAAAAAAAAAGCAGCACATCATAGCTTTTCTTCTTCTTTAGTGTGTTAAACCAGATTAGGAAAGATTCCATTGAACACCACAGCCAGTATAAGCAGGAAGCAATGGAAACGGAGAAACTGGGAACAAGGCCTTCCTATTTTGGCAGCTGCCTGCTGGTATGTTGTATTAGCAGCATTGGAACTGCAGCCAGAGAAATGGGAACTACTTTCTTGCTGAAGTTGCTACCTAAATTGGCTCACTGTGAGGTCAGACAAGTGTCAGTCTGGGAGACTGGGACTCCACCTGCAGCCCATGGAGGACACAGAGGACAGGGAGTGAACGTGGGGGAAGGATGGGACAGAAGCACACAACTGAAGTAACCTATGCTGATGTTGAATCACTCATCTAGTTTTATTCCTTAAGGCTGCACAATAAATAACTCTTAGATGCTGAGACTTATGGAAAAATTCCAAGAATTAATAGGATAACAGGGCATAAAGAGTTACTTAGGCTATCATTATCTAGGATTAAAAAAAATAGAAAAAGCAAATTCTAGCCTAAAGACTGATAAGATGAAGATCAGAGTCAGAAATGAAAAGAAAAATTACCATCAGCTCAGAAAGAAATTGCATAGACTGACAAGTTATTAGCAAGTTACAGGGAAACATTTGGTAAGGAGAAAAATCAAAGCATCATCCATCATGCTAGTTCTGAGGCCTCATGAGAAACCTGGGCAGTCACTGTCAGAAACTAAGGACCTTCTTATACATGGAACAGAAGCTGCACCCAGGGTAAAAACACCAATTACAATGCAAGAACGTTGCTGCCTTTTCATTGCTCTCTACTGGATGGAATCACTCTTGCTCGGAGGTGTCTAAGCTCACCAGCTCACCCAGCAAACCACCACTTCCAGGTCTTTACAAGGCAGAACACCACCTCTGCTCACCCCATGCATCCAGTTTTGCTCCTCTTGTGACTTACAAAGACACTCAGACTGTCGGAACTCATCTTTGCCAGTGCTGCAGAGACAATCCAGCAGCATGTCCTGCGCGACAAGTGCTCCCGACTGCGGCAGCTCTGCAAGGCGGATGCCACATCTGCTCACATTGATATAAGGCTTCCATGAAACGAACTCTACTTGAATACAGACAATATTCCAATAGATTAATTTTTTTAATGAGTCAAAGTGAAGCTCTGGGATTTGCTGCAGCTGGGTTTACAGCCCAGAAAGCTTTGTTTTCCTCTCAGAAAGCCTATTTTAGCATTTTCTGCTTTAAGGGAGCCTTGGGGACTCACTCCTCCAATGGAATCAGTCTAGAAGACCATCAGGGTATCATTTCATGGCTCTGCTGTAACCCAGAGAGTCCTCTTCTCCACTGTTCCATTTTAAAGAGCTGGGACAATATATATATTTCCACTGGCACCCAGGAGCTTACAGCACATATTCACTGATGCCAAAAGGGTTTTATTATGAAGATGAAAAAGCTCAGGTAAATTGAACTATAAAAATACATGGACAAGACAATAATTACAGTGCTGAGAATAGTGAATGAAACACGTTTTGTCCTGTTTTTGTCTGCCACCTGCACCACAACCATTATAATAACTTGCTGTTGTAGGAAACTCACTTACACTGTACAAGCCTTGCTGACAAATAACACCTGGAAAGGGTTTTTTGCCTATAGTACTTGTCAGGTACGCAGTGACCTTCTACGTTAACTGCAGTGGCTAAGGTGGAATTATTATGCACAGTTGAAGCACTGACAAAGTATAAGTATCTTCTAATTTTTGGCAGATATCTAAAGGACAACGGCAAGGACAGAAGTGTTGAGGTAGTAGGGAGACAATAGGTAAAATGTCAGAACAGAGAGACATATGCAGACTGGTTACTTGCTAAAACTAAACAGCTACTTGAAAAAAACCTATTTGAATTAGAAGGAAAATTGAACAGCAGGAGTGAAGAAAGGAGATATTCCTATGTGGCAGTTTATGTTCAAGAAATAAACAAATAAAAAGAAAAACAATGGCAGGAAATGCAAGAGAAGAGGAGGATCCCTTTTGCCTTTGGATATTTTGATATTACCAAAACAGCTATTAGTTTTTAAAGCCCTCAGGAGAATGTGCACAGGGTTTGCTCTAGAATAAAAACGGAAAACTGCCAGCAAAACTCAGCATTTCAGGCTTTTTATCACCACCAGCACACACATACCTGCTATAATAATAACTTCCCACTTACATAGCATTTTTTACTACCAAATCATTTGACAAGTTTTAAACTAGTAATCTTTTTCCCTTTCTGCCAACTTAAGAGACAAGAGTGTCCAGAACGTCCCTGAACGTGTAGAACTGCAATATGAAGCATTTATATACCATGCCTATGGGTCACACCTTGAAAAGGCAACAAAGATCCATGCAGCTCCTCTCAGTGATGGGGAACCAGTTGCAACATACATGGCACAAAGCAATCCCTTGCTCCGTTGTTCCAAGGATCAGCTTCTCTTCCTACCTGCCCAATTCATTTTCTGCCTCATTAAATGGCGCAGTTCCTTTCTCTTTAGCCACAGAATAAAGGTCTCACACGTCACAAAGTTTCTCCTACAATCTCAGCTCCAAAACATTCTAGATATGAAGAGCATGTCTGCATTGCTGCAGCCTGTACAACTTCGTAACACGCGGGATAAATTAACAGCATTTATATTGATAGAACTGATTTTGGAGGCAATACAGTGACTGGTTGTCCTTCTCTTGGCGTTAATCACTCAATTTTTCAGTCAACTGTATTCTTTGACCTCTGCCAGTCTCTGTTTCAGCTTTCGCTGGCAGCGCATCAGTAACATAGTGGTCTACCACCTTTCAAAGAGTAAAAACTTCAATGACAGTGTTATGCAATGAGAAAGTGAGGAGGGGGTAGAAAAGACAGGAAAAAATTTAAAATCATGATTTAATGATGTTTCTGTGTTAAGGAAAAATTTGACTTCTCCAGTCCTTTGAATGGAGAAAGACACAAAATTATTTTAGCAGAGGTTTTGTTTCTCATTCCATTTCTCTTCTCTTCACAAATGGTTGGGGGGGGAGCTTCCAATTTTAAAGACACCAGGGCACATAATTAATTTTAAGCTGGAACTCGGTCCTAATGCAAAGCCTTTCTTATTTACAATGTTTTATTTATTGGTGCATCCATATAGGCAAAATGTCGATGTCAAAAGCAATGGGCTGCTTCTCCCATTTTCACTTTAGAAAGTGGCAAGGAATTTGAGCAGGGCTGGTATCAAAGATTTTTTTTCCATGTCAGAAAAAAGCAGAACAGCAAGTTGAAACCCCAAATTAATTTGGGGTGTTTTTTCAATGTATCTAAAACTGAATTATTAGTTTCCTGTGAACTAGTTATTATAAACAGTGCAATTAATTAGCAAGTTTTTATACCAGTACATTTCCATACTTACTCTAGTGAATATGCTGAAAAGAACCTATTAACTGAGGTTGCTCATAGCAGGAGTGTTCACCAATCAGGAAAAAAACACTCAAGAATGAAATTATGCCTCACAGATTCTCTTCAACCTTTTTCTGAATATCGTGGAATAAAATGTTGCTAACTGGCAAGGATAAATCTTGTTGACTTATATTGTGGAAAAAAAATAAAAAATCCAACCTCGAATAAACCTAATTCATGTGAAAGAAAAAATGCAGGCAAAGATTGGTTGAAAAATTTCTGTTTCCGGTTGTATAGCTCCACATTAGTATCATCGAGAATTATGTAGAAGAGGACAATCTTTTACCCTTCTATTCAAAACAAACAAAGCAGAAAGCACTGCAAACACCTACCTTTTCTTTTTGATAGATGATGACAAAATGTTGTCCTGAATTGCCTTACATGTTGAAGCCTGCTCAAACTGGTAAATTCCATTTTTATTAACAGTTGTTCTGTTGAGGGGAGGAGAAAAAGCAACAAACTTTAAAAGAGAGAACAATGCTGTCACATTTACTTTGCTATGACAGTAAGATTAATAACCGTTGATTTAGCTGAAAACATTACAAAAAAAATCTTACTGATTTCTGTTGTTGGGGTAGGTTGACCCTGGCTGGGGGCCAGG